GCCCTCCCTCCAACCCCCTTTACCACCCCACCCCCAATCCAGGATGCGGCAACTTGCCATGAATGAAGAGTGGCTGGTCACGTGGCCTGGTCGCCATGGCAACGGGTCCCTGCAGGCGAGGTAGGCATCAAAGTCACATGAGAACCCCAGAAAATTGGCTGAGGTATTTATAGAAGCAGGCTGGTGCTTTTATGGAAATGGGTCTATATTTGACTCAGGTACAGAAAGCTCTGTGCTGGCCCTGGGAGGAGGCAGGTCTTACATCTGATTCTCCCTTCCCAAGCCTGGAGTGGGGGCACCCAGTCCCCGCCCTTCCTCTGTGTACCGAACATTCCCTTCCCCACACCAGTCCCAGCTGCTGCCCCTCCTACTACAGCAGACCCCCTTCTGTTTACAAACAAAGCCTTCTTCCTGGTTGGGAGTTTGGGGGCCCAGGATGCTGGGCCGGTGGGCAATTGAGGACACCCTCCTGCACCACTCTCTCAAGTACCACCAAGAGGCATGTCCCTGCAGCGCTCAGTAAATATTAGAAGTTACTGTGATGACTCAAAGCCGCGGCCACTCCTTCCTTCTGTGTTGGGAGAAGCTGCTAAATGGAGGAGGATACATTGTGGATAGAGCAAGCCTTGGAAGGGTCGGATGTCCCAGAAAAGCAAGGAAATGTTCATGGTAACTATTGTTTATTGAGCACTCCCTGGTCTGTGTTCTCTCATTTGACACTCACCCATCCAGTGCTGTGGAAACTGCCGTTATACCCATTTCACAGATGAAATGTAATCTCCGTCATCTTCTAAACGACTGGATCTGGGCTCACTTCTGGACTCGGTTCTGCTTCGTATTTCTCAGGACTAGGACCGCACTAACTTAAACTTGTAGCTTCCTAATGTGCCTTACCGACTGGTGGGCGGATTCCCATCACACCCGCTATTTGCCCTGCTAATTTCCTGGCTAATTGCTTGTTTCTTTTTCCTAATGAATCTTAGAAGCAGCTTGTCTGATTACAAAGGGAAAAGTAACCCTTTTGTTATTTTCATCGAGTCTTTTTTAAAGTATAAATTAATTTATATGTTTTCTCTCCCAATCTAAGAATATCATTTATTTTCTTATGTCCAAATGCCCTTTATGAACTCTCAGTAGCATGCAGATGCTTTCTTCATGTAAGATATCCTACACATCTTTTCAAGTTTATTCCAAGTGTTCTTCTTTTCTGGTTCTTGCTCTTGTAACTAAAGCATTTCTTATATTTCCTCACTGGTTGGTATATTGGAAGGTTATGATATTTTACATATTAATTTTGCATATATCACATTCCTGAATCCTTTTTTGTTTTTTTTAGTTGTAAATTATATTTTAAAAATGTATTTTTATTGATTTCAGAGAGAAAGGGAGAGGGAGGGAAAAATAGAAATATCAATGATGAGGATCATTGATTGGCTACCTCCTGCACACCCTCCTACTGGGAATGAGCCCGCAACCTGGGCCTGTACCCTGACCGGGAACTGAACTGTGACCTCTTGGTTCATAGGTTGACACTCAACCACTGAGCCTTGCCATCCGGGCTTGAATTATTTTTTAAATGAAGCTTTCAGCCTTTAAGAGGAGGATGCATATACATACACACACACACACACACACACACACACACACAACCCTGGGGTAAGTGGCTATTTCATAATTCAGTGAGTTCCTAAGTGTAGGATATTTAGAGTAGTGCCTGGCCCATCTTATGAGTTACTGGTAATGGCAACAGTCATAATACAACCTTGAGTTTACACAGCGTCTAATTTCATTTAATCCTTACAACGATCCCATGAGGTTAGAGAACCGATAAAGAATCTGAAGGTCAGGGATATGAAGTAGTTGGTCAAAGGTCACCTGGTAAGGTAAGCTGGATCAGAACCCGTGTTCATCTGACTGTACATCATGCTGTCTCAGAGAGAGACCAGGCCAGTCCTTTTGCGAAGTGGAGGGTCCCTGGCATCACTCCTTTTGATTTGTGTTCTGGGTGCTCATGCAGGGGTGTGCTGAGTTGGGCCACCCCACCCTGCTCAGTAAGGACTCTGGATTCAGTTTCCGGGGCAGCTTTCTAACCACTGAGTCCCAGTAAAGGAAAAGACTGGGCTGGCCTGCCTTTGTGCGGCTCCCTTATATCCTCCCAACAGAAGTGGCAGCTCCAGACTGACAGGCCAGGCCTCCACAGTACAGAATTCAACTCATCTTCCATCCTTCTCTTGCTCCAGGTTGATGGGCCAGGCCTCCACAGTAGAGAATTCAACTCACCTTCCGGCCTTCTCTCCCACTTGTCCCCTGAGTCCAGAGCTTCCTCCAGGCCTGCGAGGTCAGGGACCTGGGGAGTTCCATCACCTGCTCCTTCCTGCTTGCTCTTTATTCCTCTACAGTGTCTGTCCTCTCGCTCCAGACAGGAAGCGGGAGGACTTGTGAACGCAACCCTGTACTTCAAACCGTAATTTCACACATGTAGCTCAAACTGCAGCTACTTCTGCAACATGTTATTTCTGGTTTTTTACAAAATATTTTTATTGATTTCAGAGAGGAAGGGAGAGGAAGAGAGAGATAGAAACATCAATGATGAAAGAAAATCATTGATTGGCTGCCTCCTGCATGCTCCCTCCGGGCTTTGAGCTCGAAACCTGGGCATGTGCCCTGACTGGGATTGAACCGTGACCTCCTGGTTCATAGGTCTATGCTCAACCACTGAGCCACACCGGCCAGGCGATACCCATATTTCTAACCACACGTTCTGGATTCTTTCAGCAAATCTGTATGGAGAGTTCATTCTGTGTTGAAGACGGGCATGGTCTCTGCCCTGTGGAATATCCACAGCAGCCAAGGTGACCATCATCAGCAGCCGGTCACACCATAAGCACTTAACTACATTGTGACGAAGGCTACGAAGGAGAAGAAATGTCCAGCTGGGAGGCTGACCGAATTCTCCATGGTCAGGAGGGGCATGAAGAGTTGGGGTCCGAGGTGAACTCTGGTGAGTGGGCAGGGAGTGAGGAGAGAGGAAAAGGGGGGACCTAGCGGCTTCCTAGCAGAGAGGGCACATGCGCTGAAGGCTGAGTCAGGAAGGAGTGGGCGAGTCGAGCTGAGAGAAGGTTGGGGTAGGGAGTGGGCTGCAGGAAAGGCCATGGGAGAGGGGTGTGAAATGAGCTGGGGGTGCGGAGGGCCTTGAAGGACCTGCTGAAGATGGGGCGAAACTGTGAGCTTGAGAAGGCTCCACTCATCTTCGTGCGTCTAAAAGGGGAGGCATTGGTGGCTCTTTGTTCCAGGCTGTCTTGTTGAGGATGTTTGCATAGCAGACAGCTCTGGGAGTTGGAGATAGTGTCTCTCAGTGGAGGACGGGTTTGTTTGCTGTCTGGGATAATAACAATACTAAGTAGAATAACATCTGGGGCCAAGGTTGGGCAGGTTTGCCGGCAGCCCACTATAAAAGATTGGGGTTCCCTAAGCTGGGGTTCCCCAGCTGGTGCAGTATTATCTGAGCACAGCCCCACTTCCCTCCTTTGGACTAGAGTGAAGGTAAACTGAGTTGACTGAAGCTCAAGCTTCCTGCTGAGCCTTGAGGAATAAGATCCTTTGTCTCTGGCCCAAGAGTCTCATGTCTCCTGCCAGCAGCCATGAAACTGTCAGGCTCACTTGTTAGACGGCAAGGGTAGAATCTCAGAGCCTCTGGAGTTCATGACCACAGTCCTATTGCCTTTCAGCAGGACCACTGAGACAGCTGCCACCTCCGATCCTTCCCAAACACCTGTCTAATGCCAAGGTCCCCTTAATGTCCTCTAGAGCAAACCATGGGGGCTTTCGGACCTCATGGACCACTGGTTGGCAACCGCTGCTCTAGAGCAGAAGTAATTCATTCCAGACTCTGCAAACAGCCCTCCAAGGCTCTGGAGCATGGCTCCTGCCTGCCTACCTTCACCCACTCCTGCTCCAGCTCAGGCATTCACCCCCCCCAATACCTCCACTCTCTGGTATCTTTGCTCTTGTCATGCTGTCCCCTCCACAAGGGTCATCCTTCTCCCCTTCCACCCTCTGAGGCCAGGATCCTGCCTCACCTCCTCCATAAGGTCTGCCCAGAGCCCCGACAGAACCTCCCTCTCCCTTCACTGTCCCCCACTTTCCTTATCTTCTAGGGTGTTGGTCCTTCTGTCTCTTACTGCGGCTGTCTGGGCAAACCTCTCCCAGAGGCCCCCTACCACCATTTCTGTTATCTCAACCCCTGCAGCCTCTGCCTAGGTGGGAGCTCAAGAGATGAGTGATGTAGTAGGAGCTGAGCTGCACAGGGAATGATCCTCCTGGGAGATGGGATGGGAGGGCCGTGGGGGCAGAGAAGACATTCCAAGTGAGGAGTAGAGAGGGAGCAAAGGCATGGAGGTGCAAACTGCTAGGGCAGGGAGAAAAACCGCTTTGGGTGGGGCTGAGTTCATGAAGGGGCCAAAGGAGATGGGCCTGAAAAGATGAAGAAAGGAGGCCCAGGACTCAGGAGGGCCTTGGCCATGGGGGTCCCGTTCCGCTCTGAGGGCAGAAGCCCCACTGACTCCTCTCCAGTGAGGGGCCTCAAGAGGCTGCTGCCAGGGCAGCCCCTGTCCCTCCTCCTGCCCACCCCCTCCACCAGAGCCTCGCTCGCGGCCCCAAAGCCTCGCATTGACGCGGGCCCGCGCGTGAGTCAAGCCTGCGTCACGGCACCCCGCCGCCAGGGTGGCCTTTCGCAAAGCGAGGGAACAGCGAGCACGCTGCGCTCCGCCCAGCTCGTTCCGCTCTGCAGAGCCGGCGTGACCAGAGCGCAGGGAGGGCGGCACACAGTCCTGGCTTCCGCAGCCCCACGGGCTCCCTCTGCCGCGGGACCTGAGTCCCCGGGCCGCTCCCCAGAGGACTGAGTGCGCCACGGGCGGGAGCTGGGCCGGGACTGGCGGCGAGGGAAGGAGCGAGAAGCCAGCAGAGTCGGTGGCGCTCGGCTCGGCGTCCCCTCCCAGCCCCGGTGCCCGTTGCCGCCGGACTCGGGCTGCCCGAGGAGGGGGCTGTGCGCCCGCCACCCGTCGGGGACGCAGCTGCTCCGAGGGAGTGCAGGGGCAGAGTCTGCGCGGCGGTCCACAAGGCACAGGTGAGTCGCGGGCCAGAGCCTGGCTTTACAGGGTCAGCCACTGCACCTTCAGCTGTGCCGGCCCGCCCCGGCCAGGAAGGCCTAAGAACCGGAATGCGAGGCGGCGCGGCCCGGGCTCCTCCCCACTCTCCAGCCTCCGTTGCCTGGTGACGGAGCCCGAGAGTCGCGCTCCTCGGACGCATCGGGGGTGTCTAGCGCCGAGCTCAGGGGTTGGACACCTGACGCTGGCTTCCGGGGCTTAGATGGGCCTCAGAACTCCGGAGGTGTTGAGGCGGAGCTGCAAGGCTGGCGCCTGCGAACCCGGGAGGAAGCCACTAGTTCCACCGCCTGGGGCTGCGCTGGCTCAGGGCGCAGGTCCTGCGGGGAGGCTCCTGCGCGGCTGGAGACCCCAGCCCCTGCCGCTCTGCTTCAGGCCCGTGACCTTGACAGTATCATTGGCTGGAGAAGCAGAGCGCTCATGCCCGAGATGAGTGTTTAATTCCCATCCCTAGGGCTGGTCCTCGCTGAGTTCCGAGCTAGCGGGAAGCCCATACTCCCTCGAGGTAAGCGCATCGGAGCGGAATGGCGGAGATGGGGGACGTGCGCGGGGTGGAGGTCTCCAGGGCGCCCCCTCCGGAGAGTGGCCTCCGCCACGTTTATACCTGTGCGTCAGGGGTCAGGGGCTCGGATGCTCGCTGTACTCCAGGGGCGCGCAGTGGAAGGAAGCCTTGTGTTTCCTCTTAAAGCCCAAACAGCCCTGTCAGGCCTCCCAGTTCAGAAATCCCGAGGCCACTCACCTTACAGCACCAAGTCGCTGTCAAGAGGAATTTTTTAAAACCAATTTGATCCTACTCCTCTTTCCTTTGAGAAATGTTTTATCTAGTTCTTTGGATTAGAAATTTCTAACCAGACCTGTCTTTGGAGCAGTTCAGCTGAGAACATGAAGCTGGTGGGGTTGGATTGGAGAGATAGGAAGATTCATTGGAGGGCACTGGCCTTGTTAGCAGGAATTTCCAGAAACTAAGAAGATGCTTAACGACTCCAAAAAAAAAAAAAAATCAAAACTTTCGTTAGATCTGTTAGGCTGGTGTCTGGAGACCAAGGTCAGAGTGTGTGGAGGGTAACCATGGGGGCTTGTCTATCTGATGCTGCGCTTACGTTATCCCAGGGCCTGGTGAGGTGGGCCCGTCACCTGGGCAGGAAGGGCTGGAGGTCACACCTGATTGTCCTTGGCCGTGGCCCAGCCATGGGGACCGTCAGAGCCTCCAGCTCCTCTGCTGGCTTTTTCTCAGATGGAGCAGCTGTGGCTAGGTAGGTGGTGAGTTTCAGCGAATCCCTACAGCTCAGCCTGGAGGTGACTCAGTGTAGGAGGCACATCGTGCCCACTCCCTCTGATTGGAGTGAGTTTGTTTGGCCTGAGTCACAGGCAGCGCGGTGTCAGCTGCTTGTGAGTTGAATGGAGTTTGGTACCGGGACTTGTGAGCGGGAACAGCCACAGCGCCCGCCCGGTGTTGGGGGGCCACCAACCAGAAGTGGGCATGTCCTCAGAGGGAGCTAAGCCGACTCAGGCTGCCTGGCTCCTGGGCCAGGGTTCTGGAGCTCTGACCCCTGGGAAAGGCAAGCAGGGTCAGGTTGGGGTGGGGAGGGGGAGGAGAGCTGCAGGGGAGGCTCTGGGATTGTGGTCAGAAAGGCCCATGCTCTTCCGTGTGCCAGCGCGGGGTGACCTTGGGCAAGTCAGTTTACCTCTGGAGCCTTGGTTTCCTCAGTTGAAAAACAGGGACACCTATGGTGCCTTTGCCACAGGCTTATTTTGAGCCCAGTGTGGACCTAGAGCGGGTGCTCATTAAGTGTGAGTTCCCCGCCTCTTGCTTTATGGGCCTTAACCAGAAGAGGTTCTTTCCCTCCCTGCCCTTGCTCCTTGGGGTGGAGACAAAGGAAAGTGACAGGGTTTCACACGTGAGAGAAGCACCTGCAACTCAGCTGCAAACTGACCTACTTCCGCCCCTCAGTTCTTCCAGGAGACCCTGAATGGGGAAGCCTGAGTGAGCGCAGGGCTGGTGGGGAGCCTCGGCTGGGTCTGCAGGGTGCCCTGGGCTGGCTGAGACTCCAGCACAGACCTTGACTCCTTGAGATTGTCCCTGACTGTGGCCTGGTCCCAAGTTACATGCCTGCTGGGTGGACTGCAGGGGTCCTCGCCCTTGGAGCAGGTCTTGCCACCCTCCTCCACACCTGCCCCCTCTGTAGGGGAGTTGGAAGCTGCAAGACCACGGAGTGTGTTCCCTGCCTTCTCTGAAGGACTCGGGCTCTGGCTCCCTCCTCTGTAATGTGTGTAGAATTGGTGCTGAGCTGAGATGTGTTTGCCTCAAGAGTGGAGGCAATGCTCAGTGGTTGACCATCGACCTATGAACCTGGAGGTCATGGTTTGATTCCCAGTTGGGGCACATGCCCAGGTTGTAGGCTTGATCCCTAGTGAGGGGGCATGCAGGAGGCAGCCAATTGATGATTCTCTCTCATCACTGATGTTTCTATCTCTCTCTCCCTCTCCCTTCCTCTCCGAAATATATATATATATATATATATATATATATATATATATATATGTATATGTATATGTATATGTATATGTATATGTATATGTATATATAAAAGAGTGGAGGCAATAGGGGGATCCCCAGTGCAGCAAAAAGGCCAGCTGGCTCGGGGGACTCTAGCTTGCTCCTGGAAATGTGTGCTTGTGCATGTGTGTGTGGGAGGGCACATGCACCCTGGACATCCATGCCCTTCCCATTGGATATGGCAAATTCCAAGGTACTAGAGACAGAGGTGAGAGGACTCCTGAGAAGCAGGCGCCTTCTCTCTGGGCACCTTCCCTTCCCTCATGCCTGTCGGATTTGCTGCAGGAGGACAATTCATCATTAATCCCTTCAAAGCTGCTAAGATAAGCAGCAGAATATTTAAAGGGAGGATGAATTGGGGCTTTTTTCCCTAGAAGCAGGTCTGACTTATCACCCACTCCCAGGCTGGGCTCAGGAAGTCCTCACAGCCACACATCTGGAGCCTGGATCGCCGGGGTGGGAAATAAACCCTTACTCGGCCCTGCAAAGCCCTCCTACATCAGCCTTCTTCCCTCCCCCCTCACCCCCCGCCCCTGCTGCTACTGTCCCAGGCTCTCAAAGGTCAGAAGCACAGTACCATGGGTAGAGCTGTTAGTACACGCCCCCAACTCAGGTGGGATGGGGATCTGTGGGGAAATGCTACTGTGAGCTTTTAGGAGGGGCGGGTGCAGGCCTGTACTCCAGCAGCTCACCCCGGTCTTGGCACCCAGCGATAATATCCTGATTTTTACGGAGGCTTCCGCGCTGTGCTAAGTGCTTTATTCATACACCATCCTGTCTAATCTTTGCTACCATCCCAGGAGACCGATCTTGCTCTTGGTGGTTGTACAGATGTGGGACTTGAGGCTCAGAGAGGTTAAATAACTTGGTCAAGGTCACCCGAGTCGTGCGTGGCAACCTGAGAAATAGAACTCAGGTCTGTCGGGTTCCAGACTTCCTGCCCTTGACCACGATGTGATATGTCCAATTATTAGTTCTTTATAAATGTTTGCTGACCACCCAGGCATTTATCCAAACGAGATTGTCTGAATGCGTGTCCAGTTCTTTGAGCTCATGCCCTGAGAAAGGGGGCAGTGAGCCTCCGCCAATGGGAAGTTGGTAGAGAATGGACAGACCTAAACTGGCAAGGTTGGGGAATGCGGCACGTGCTTGCACGAGGGTGGGAATCCAGAAGAAGGTCACGTCTGGCCTTCTCTTCTGGACTTCTGGCTCCCTGGCCTCATTCCCTCATAGGTTGTCAGGCCTGGAGCTGGTGCTGGGGCAGTGAGGGGAGAGCGGGCACAGACTGGATCCCTCCATTTGTCCAGGCCGGGGCTGGTGTTGGTGCTGGGGCAGTGAGGGGAGAGCGGGCGCAGACTGGATCCCTCCATTTGTCCAGGCCGGGGCTGGTGCTGGGGCAGTGAGGGGAGAGCGGGCGCAGACTGGATGGTGCCCGGAGGAGGCCTTTTCCATCTGCAGAGTCAGGACCCCGGTGGGAACTGGGTGGGTCAGGTTTCTCTGCTGGAGAGTGTGAGCCAGGGCCTTGCAGAAGCGTCTGGTGAGACCCAGGGCAGCACTGCTAACACTCCAGGGCTGTTCGCAGCAGCTGCCCGCATGGGCTGCTCAGAGGGATGCCGCTGCTCCCTGGTCTTGTCCCCTGGACAGCCCACCCTCCTCACCTCGGGGGCTCTGCCCCTTGTGTCCTTGGCATTCTGGGAAACTTGGCATCTGCTTCCTCCTGCTTCTCCATCTCTTCTCTCTCTGAGAAATCACCCTGAGGCACAGGCCTGCACTATCCTAGCCCGCCTGGCACCCCTAAACCACCCGTGATCTCGGTGGGAAGGTCCTGTAAGTGAGGGTGGATCATTGGAGCGTAGGCATTAATGCTCCCCCCCGCCCAGTGGATACCAAGGGCCTTTCCAGACACCCCTGCTTCATGGGCACCCATTCTGTGCAGATGCCTTTGATAACCACCCCTCCCCACCCAGCATGACTAATTTAAGAAATAAAAACATTGTTCATCTACGGATATATCCAGGTATTCAAAAACATAGCTATTTACTGTGCAGGAAACTCACCTGTGAGAACAGGAGCTCAGGTACAAGGTGACCAGGTGAGTTACTGGACTGCATTATTCTCACGTTCAGAACCAGGTATATCCATTAGAGAACAATTCTGGGTCAGGTGAGTTCTGGGCAGCCTGAGTCCCCACCTTGGGAGGTGGGACTTAAGGCCCTCATGTGGCCTCATGGGGCAAGCGTGGGGCCAGAGGAAGACACGCCCCAGCTCCCAGGCCCGGGGGCATCTCCCCGGCCACACTGGTCCCACCGAGCTGCCACTCTGCCTTCCAGAGCCAGCGGAGGGCTCGTTTAAGAGAAGAAGTTGCCTCTCACTGTGGTCCATCATTTCTAATTGCTGGTTTAATTA